ATACCACTAGACCAAACACCCATGTTGTTGTCTACAATACCAGATGAACATATTTATTGTAACTATTTAATAGTTTCTTTTTTCATCAACTGCTGCTTCTACACGACTACACGTCTGAATTTGGAGAAGCCAGTGGAAACCAGTCTCTTTCTAGGGTTTAGAAATCTAATTCCCGGTCCCGAAATCGAATTCATTCATCTGGGTTGTTTCCCGCTCTGAGATTCCAGCTCGCAATTCCCTGCAATGGCTGCTGTAAGTTTTCAATTCGCGCGAAAAAGTTTGCTCCTGTATCTTTTCTTTTTTTGGTAGCAATGCTTCTCATGTCTTCCTTTTGAATCGCAGCCAGCTGGAGTCGACAACACGTTCAGGAAGAAGTTCGATCGAGAAGAGTACTTAGAACGAGCTCGCGAGCGGGAAAAGCAGGTATTATTTGTTCCCTAGAGCTTCCACTCTTTTCCCCGTCTTTCTGGGTGTCAATTTGTGCTCGCGACCTGATTTTGCTGCCTTGTTCTTGTTGTTTCAGGAGGATGAAGGGCGATCGAAGTCTAAATGTAAGTTGGGTTTTGCTTTGATTACTTGCTTAATTTGTGGTGATAAAAAGAATTCAGCCTTGTTTAATTGGTGAAACTGTGATGATTCTGTTGCAGCCAAAGGTCCTCCTGTGCAGAGGAAGCCCCTAAAGCACAGAGATTATCAAGTTGACCTCGAATCTCGACTGGGGAAGACTCAGGTTTGGTACTCTTTCTCCCACTCTGTAAATATTTTTGCTGAATTGATTGGGATTTGGTTGGGCAAGCTGCACTATGCAAAGTGGGCAGCCAGTTCTTTCCTGTATAGGAAGCATTCTTGTAGCCTGTAGGTTTTGAGAACATAATAATCTCCGAGATAATTGGTTGAGAGCTTCAAGGTGTCTTTTGCTCGGAATCTCATGTAGCCTTACTGCTGGAAATGCATAACCGTTTGCGATCGCAACATGTTATGGTATCCTGGGTATGAGTAGCTTTGCCTTTAAGATGAGGCTCATTTAGTGGATTGTTCTGTAGTGATGCTTGAGATTTGGGGTTGCTGCTCATATTAATCTGAGATGTGTTATTTGGATAAGTTTGTTTGCAACTTTGATTTTCACTCATTTTTTATTCTTTGCGTTGTTCACCTTTTGTACTGGCAGGTTGTTACTCCAATCGCACCTCTAAGCCAGCAGGTATGTCCTTCACAATAGCGATGTGTACATTTATGATTCTGCATGTGAATTGAAGTTGTGCATAGTTTTGGAATTGGGTGCAAACAAACTCTGTGCTGTTCGTTCCCATTGTTAAAAGTCTCCTTTTTGGATGGGTATGAGTTGTGGATCCAATATAACCTACATATGGTTGGTTTCCTCGGAGTTAGCTTTTCTTGTTACTACTGTCTACTGCTTGATATAAGGTTTGAAAATAATTGATTGTTCTATGTTGCCCGCTGAGTTAAAAACAAACAAAGAACCACAGATCTCTATCTTCTTCTCTATTGGCTAAGGTTGATAGATGCTCTGTTATATTCTTCGTCTCTCACTTGACAATTTGAATTCTGTATTCGGTTGCAGGCTGGATACTACTGTTCGGTTTGTGAGTGTGTAGTGAAGGATTCTGCTAACTATTTGGACCATATCAATGGAAAGAAACGTACGAATTCATCCATCACCCAAGAAACTGATATATTAAGTTCATGTTAAATTTGCTTGTTACTGTGCTTTGTTCTAATTGCATTAGCAATATCTTACATGTAGATCAAAGGGCTTTGGGCATGTCGATGCGGGTGGAAAGAGCTTCCCTTGAACAGGTACAATTGCTAATATGCAGTTGCCACTATTGTCCTTAGATTCTGAAATAATGCTGACTAGCGAAGTTCTACTTGTATTTCCAGGTCCAAGAACGATTCGAAATGCTCAAGAAACGGAAGGATCCCAGCACCTTCTCCGAACAAGGTAAAGAAGAAGATATAAGTTCTTGTTTAGCTGCTTTTTACTATTTGTAGTTACACTAAGTTGTGGGAATTCAACTGTCGGTTTCCATTTAGATCTCGATGAACGACTCCTGAAACAGCAGCAAGAGGAGGAAGAACGGAAGAGACAGCGACGAGAGAGAAAGAAGGAGAAAAAGGTTGGTCAGAATGAAGTATAACGTTGACTAGAACATGTGATCGTACCTGTATACCTTGGCTATTGACACTGACACTCGTCTATGTTGCAGAAAGAGAAGGTGGCAGAAGAGCCAGAAGATATCGATCCAGATGTCGCGGCTATGATGGGATTTGGTGGGTTTGGTACATCCAAGAAATAGATGCAAAGTGCCTCTTGAAAGAATTAAGTCTGTTTGGGTAAAAATCTTCAGACGAATGCTGTTCATCAAAGATATATGTTAGTTCTGCAGAGTAGCATAGCTGAAGAGTTTTTTGTTGCCCACCCGATTGCCTTACCAGTGAAAAATTGTAAAACTTTCAATGGTTTCCAACGTTGTAAATCTTGATGATGCCATTTCACGACTGTTCGCCCCTCTTTACTTCCGTTTCCTTTGGTTGATGGGATAAAAACAGAACATAGAACAAGGGGTATACAACGATTTGGTTCGGACCAAACTGGAGTAGGTCGGTTTGAGTTATATCTTCTGGCGTTTCAGTTATGAAATTCTGATCCATGCATAGATTTGGTTTGATTCCGGCATAGACCGGTTTGAGTTCTGGACAAATTGAACAATTGCACTTCACATCCTAGAGATTTTTCCAGAAATAGCACTGTTTAAAAAAAAAATTCCAAAAATAGCACCCAACTCCGAAAAATTCCAAAAATAGCACCATTTATGTAAAACCGCAACCCGGAGGTGCGTTTTTCGATGAAAACGCCACCCGAGAGCGCGTTTTTCGATGAAAACCGCACTGGTAGGGAGCGGTTTTGAAAACCGCACCTCCAGGGTGCGATCTGCCCTTTTTTTTTTTTTGCAAACCGCACCCCCAGGGTGCGATCTGCCTTTTTTTTTAAAAAAAAAAATCCTAATTTAGGCGGAAACTTCAAACGAACGTATCTTTATGTTCGGGTATCCGATCGTCGCGATTTTTTTTTTGATTCCGCATAACTTTTTGAGATCTTGCAAGCCGAAGACTGCCAAAGGTGGTTTGGTCTCGCCTTCGTACCAAAAAATGTCGTTTGCTACCCCGAACGAGCTTTTTTTCCGATTTCGTCAAACTTTGGACAACCGTAACTTTGTGCTCCAAATCCAAACGGCATGATTTTTTTTTATTTCGCATAACTTTTTAAGGACTATAATTTATGTGAAATAAAAAAAAAATCATGCCGTTTGGATTTATGCGAAAACGGCATGATTTTTTTTTATTTCGCATAACTTTTTAAGGACTATTTCACATAAAAAAAATTTATGTGAAATAAAAAAAAATTCATGCCGTTTGGATTTTGGAGCACAAAGTTATGGTTGTCCAAAGTTTGACGAAATCAGAAAAAAGTTCGTTCAGGGTAGCAAACGACATTTTTTGGGATGAAGGCGAGACCAAACCACCTTTGGCAGTCTTCGGCTTGCAAGATCTCAAAAAGTTATGCGGAATCAAAAAAAAAATCGCGAAACGATCGGATACCCGAACATAAAGATACGTTCGTTTGAAGTTTCCACCTAAATTAGGATTTTTCAAAAAAAAAATAAAAAGGCAGATCGCACCCTGGGGGTGCGGTTTGCAAAACCGCTCCCTACCAGTGCGGTTTTCATGGAAAAGCGCGCCCTCGGGTGGCGTTTTCATCGAAAAACGCACCTCCGGGTTGCGGTTTTACAAAAATGGTGCTATTTTTGGAATTTTTCGGAGTTGGGTGCTATTTTTGGAAATTTTTTTTAAAACAGTGCTATTTCTGGAAAAATCTCCACATCTAATCATTATCGGAATACCATATTCGCATTTGGAACATTTTTTTGATGGAAGAACCATTTTTAAAATTACGGTTATACCGGACTCCCGCCAGGGAAAAGGGGAATGGATCAAGTCAGTAACTTTATGGTGAGTAACTATGAGTAACTCGCCCACATCACCATGACATCAGCATCCTCTCTCTCCTGGAAAGCTTTTAATTTTCCCCTCCTTAATCTTTGACGGATGATTTCTCACTCGTTTTAAGTCGAAATTTAATTTTTTTTGCACAGTTAGATCAGATTAATTGTGCTCTTCAAAATGATATCCACTTTTATATATTTTTCGAACAAAAAAAATTGAGCCATTTTTTACCAGTCTATACCATATGGTATTGACTGGTATTGAAATAAGAGCATACCTATGGGTTCAAAAGCGTACCATGGTGGTATGAACAAACCAAGACTGTAGGATGATTGAATACATGATAGTAGAAGTATATTAATTGTCATTTACGACTTTTAACATTGTATACCATAAAATACCATAAAATACCACCCCGTACCAGGGTGGTATTGTATGGTATTGTGTGGTATTTTTTGGTCTTGTAATTTGTTCACCCAGAAATTTGTAGATCCAATAGATCATGATGAACTCGTCCCTGCTGTGCAAACGTTTTCAAAAACGAATGAAAAACGAAGAAAATACCATATGGTATGCAGTTGGTACCGAGAGACCAGAATTTTTTTTTCCTCAAAAAATATTGAAAATTGATCTCATTTTGTAGAGCACGATGAACTCGTTCCATCTGTGCAAAAAAAATTAAAATCCGAGTTAAAACGAAAAAGATATGAGTCAATTAAGAAAACTAGTGAAAATAAAAATAGCCTTTAATTCTCCATCCTTAGATCTGGATTTTCTAAATAAAGGGTCCAGATTTGGTTATTGATGGGTGCATAACCATGGGTTATGCACCCTATCTTGAGCCAGGGAAAAGGGGAAACCTTCGAGAGATCTTAATTCTTAATCTTATGACATAAACCTTTCTTTTTTGGTAAATTTTTGTTGCAAAATCTTAAAAGCTCTAAGGTGATGTTCTCTCACTATTGCCAAAGTCGATGAACCGTTCTATTGAGAAGAAGGTATTGCGCCTTCTCCACGGCCACAAGACATGGAATTCCCTCCGCCAAATCCACGCTCATTTCGTCCGCCATGGTCTCGACCAGTGCAACCAAGTTCTATCTCATTTCGTCTCCGTTTGTGGGTCGCTCAACAAGATGCAGTACGCCGATCGTCTCTTTGACCAAACCCACAACCCCAATATCTTTCTCTTCAACGCCATGATAAAAGGGTACTCTGTTTCTGGACCTTTCGAAGAGTCTCTGTTCTTGTTCTCGTGGATGAAAAGCTGTGCCATTTGGGCCGACGAGTACACTTTCGCGCCTTTGCTGAAAGCCTGTTCGAGTAATGGTGACCTCAAACTCGGCCAGTGCGTTCAGAAGGAGGTTTTTGCTCGTGGGTTCGACGGTTTTAGCTCTGTGAAGATTGGGGTCGTGGAGCTCTACACAATGTGTGGAGCAATGGAAGATGCACATAAGGTGTTCGACGAAATGACTGATAGGGAAGCGATCATATGGAATTTAATGATTCGTGGGTATTGTAAGAGGGGGAACGTGGACAGAGGGATGTACTTGTTTAGGAACATGACTGAAAGGACAGTCGTTTCATGGAACATCATGATTTCGGGGTTGGCACAAAGTGGTCGAGATGGAGAGGCTCTAGCCCTTTTCCGAGAAATGCAGGATCAAGAGGGAGTCAAACCTGATGAGGCAAGCTTAGTTACAGTCCTGCCGATATGTGCCCGTTTGGGAGCTCTTGACGTCGGCAAGTGGATTCATTCTTACGCTGAATACACGGGCATCTATCTTAACTCTATCCCTGTAGGCAATGCTCTAGTAGACTTCTACAGCAAATGTGGCAATCTGGATACGGCAATGAGGATATTCAACCAGATGCTTAAGAAGAATGTGGTTTCTTGGAATGCAATGATCTCTGGTCTGGCCTTGAATGGCAAAGGCGAACTTGGCTCAGATTTGTTTTATGAAATGACGAGCCAAGTATTTTGCCCCAACGACTCGACATTTGTTGGGGTTTTATCGTGCTGTGCTCATGCGGGTTTGGTGGAAAAGGGCAGAGCTTTCTTCTCGTCGATGGTAGCAGATTACCAAATTGAGCCGAAACTCGAGCACTATGGGTGCATGGTTGATCTACTAGGGCGTAGTGGGCGTGTAAGGGAAGCGTATGATATTATCAGAAGCATGGCACCCCACCAGAGGCCAACTGCTGCTCCACTGTGGGGTGCCTTGCTCGGGGCTTGTAGGAATCATGGTGAGATGAGGATTGCTGAGCTTGTGGTGAAGGAAATCATCGAGATTGAGCCGTGGAATTCTGGCAATTATGTGCTGTTGTCCAATATATATGCCGAGGAAGAGAGGTGGGATGAAGTTGAGAAGGTGAGGGAGATGATGAGGGAGAGAAGTGTTCGGAAATCATCTGGGTTAAGCGCCATTGGATGGATGAATGAATGAATGAGCAAACCATGCGGCATGAAATGGTACTACTGTTCTTGCTCTTCTTTTCTCATATCACCTCCATTTGGTCCAGTCAGATTTCAGTTTCATCCATTATTAACATTATTTCTAGAAATTCCATGGATCGAAGTCGGCAACTTCTTCAACTTGAAAATGGGAATGGAGATAGAATTATACTCCTAACTGGTCCGATACAAAACTTTTATCCATATATTGATACGGTTCTATGTTGCCTAGTTTGGTCCAAATTGTTGCTTACCCCTAAAAGCACATTGGTATATCCGAAATGAACAGTCACCAGAAGCTTGGTAAGTATATAAAAGAGAACTCTTTATTCCATGAACTGATAAAGGTGAAGCTTTTTCCCTATACAACACAGAACATGATAAGAAATCCAAATGTTAGATTAACCATCTTAAGAAGAACAAGAAGGTCTTGCTGCCCCAGCCTACCTTAACCTTCTCTTCCTGCTTAACACCAGCAGCTTTCTCCTCGTGCTTAACTCTAGCAGCAGCCATGGAGACAGGAGCTTTGACAGTCTCTACAGCTTTCACATTCTCCTTCTTTGGGGTCACAGTGGGGTTCTCCTTCTTAGAAGTTGCAGTAGTATATCCTCTTTTACAGCAGCAACTCATCCTCTTTTCTGTTGGCGAAATCGTACATCCAAGCTGGGGAAAAGGAAAGTATAAGTTATAATGAACAGGAGTGAAATTGCTTGGTGGATTGAGATATATCGTAGATGGGGTGAGTATTTACTATTTATTGAGGCAAATGTGCATTGGGCTTTCTTCATTTCATTAAATGGTTTGACTTATTTTCCGTGGGAGTTTAGAGTGAATGCGCCATGAACATGATCCCAAATCCCAACGTCGTGTTTCCGTGGGTGCACTGTATTTGCTGCAGGTTACTAAACAGTTGGCTTCTGAGTTCTGATTCTCGTTTCTCTCATCCAAGTTCTGAAATCTGAACCGGATCCCTCGGCACAGTGGTCGTGGTCAAGTAGCCATTCCACAACTTCTTCTAGAGCTACAACTCATCTTATTTCCTCTGTTGGTATGTACATACATCTGTGCAAAAATGGAAGTATAAGTTTTGTGACGGAGAGTAGTGAAGTGGTTTGGTGGGTTTGAGAGAGATTTGCAGAGTATTTATAGATCAGGGTTTCTCTTCGTTTCGTCAAATGGGATTTGATTTATTTGTTTCTGGGTTTCTGAGATGGATTTGATCCCCATAGGTGCAATGTATTTTGCAGGTTTACTCAGTCGAAACGTGAAGTTGGGTTCTTACTTCTTCGCCTATCATTTGTCTCCCCAGCTTCTGGGTAAAATTGTCCAGTCTCTTAAGAAGTCAACCAAGTTCTCTGTAATGCAATAGTGATTCTTAGCGATGGAATGTTGCTGTTGGTTCCAAGGTGTGAATCAGGATAATAAATTTGACTACCTTTTATCCATGGGCCACAACACAAATTTATTTGGGTCAAATCGAAATTTGACTCCAATCTGTTCTTCATATTGAAGGTTTTCCACTCATTTCACGGTTCATCTTACAAAATAAAAACAAAGATAATGGTGGACCAAATTAAAGTCAGACCATCTAATGTTATGTTAACTATCACTCAATCCAACTTACAATGCTAGGGGTCATCCCTATGTTAGTTTGTCCATGTAAAATTTGGACAAGGAAAGCTCTATGAACAACCAATTCCATCCCATCCTTATAGATTCGAAAAATCCTACATATTTTGGATAAGTCTAGAAAATATAATTGAAGTCTCCTACATTTTTAACATCTGAGTTGAATCGCCACCTACTATTTATTGGTGACTATAAATAGTGAGCAAAGTCAATTTATCATCTCATAACATCCAAACTTAATCGATATAATTTATTTTAGAGATAAAATACTAATATTCGTAATATTCTCACAATTTCTCCCTTTACTATAATTCAACGTAGGGCGGGAATCAAAACCACCTATCTTCTTAGTTTCTCAGCTTTTGGCTGACTTTTGTACTATTTCTACTATCTCATGAAATAATACAAGCCTTCTATAAAAAATTCCCCAGCAAGCAAGGCCAAATGAATGTCTACTAATAATATGAAACACATATAATAAATTGTATATACTCTATTTTTTGTTGAAACCTAATAAATTGTATTTACTCTAATACCGATTTCACTTGTGTTGCAATGTCTTTAGTGTTGATTAGACTCTGTGGATTATCAATATGGGTAGATTCTAACTAAATATACGATAGATAATACTATTTTTTGGATGACAGTTGTTCTTAGATAGTAGTTTGTATGCACTCGATTTTCAGTTCTCAAACTAATAATACATGCAAGGATTGGCTTTAGGAATCTAAGCCCTAAAACAATCCGTCTTCATATTCCACCCGAAAATAATAAATTATAGGAAATTCCTACAATGCCTTGAAATAAGATAACTTGATTATTTTGACCTGTTATAGCAGATTTCACAGGTTGTATTACGTAAAATCCAATAGGTATTACGTAATGATTACGTAACGTATGCATAGCTTACGTAACAGTTGTAAAATATCATTACAGAAAACTTACGTAATGGAGGCTTCTTTTACGGACGAGATTCATAGAAGAGGAGAGGTTACACATATCCTTTACGCAAATGATGCAATTATTTTTTGTGACGCTACAGAGGAGGATTTGATGAATATTTCTGCCACCTTGATCTGTTTCCAAACTATAACAGGACCGAAGATCAACCTGGAGAAAAGCAGATTATTTCATGTAGGAGATGTGGAGAACATCGGAAGGTTTTCTGAAATCGTCAGGTGTGAATGGGAGTTCCTACCGTCGGTTTATCTTGGTTTACCGCTGGGATCAATACCAAATTCGAACTCGATCTGGAACCCAGTTGTCTTAAGGATGCAGAGAACTTTGGAAGAATGGAAAGGGCAACATTTGTCCACTGGCGGCAAGATTGTGCGTTGCAATACTTGCTTGGCGAGCCAACCACTATACCTGGCTTCTTTATTTAAAGCTCCAAGGACAAAAATTGAGCATATTGAAAGGATTCAACGCAACTTCATTTGGTCAGGAACACAGGAGAAACATAAAATTCACTTGGCGGCATGTAACAAGTGCAAGGCACCTAAGGAGCTGGGTGGTCTTGGAATTCATGATTTCAAAGAAAGGAACTTAGCCTTGTTGGATCGTCGAGCGCGAGACGGTAGTGTTTCTCCTTCGATGTTCTCTTCTTTTGGATGAACCCTAATTCTGCAATCTTAGATCAAGTGAAGAAGTCGAGTGATGGAAACAATGTGTAATACAAATAAAGGTGAGTTTTGATTTTAGTTATACTAAGCAGTAATTGATAATCAAAACAATCCGAAGTGGGCTTTAAGCTCCGAGCAATATATTTGCTAACAGAACTGATTGGGCTTGCTGGCTGAGCCCAAGTCTCTGCGTCTTCTTCTTCGTAGGGACGTCAAGACTTCTTCCCAAAACTCTGTTCCTGCAAAACAGAGTATAGCAACAAGAAAATACCAGCTGCACAATCAAACTCACTCACACAGACATATAAGATTTTTACGTGGTATCCGATATTGGGAGAATGAGGATCCCAATATCGACTAATCCACGGTAGGAGACTCTCTACTTGAGATCTCCTACGTAAGCACTATCTTAGTGTTTTGCGTTTTACAGAACTTGGTGGACTACTAATCAACCCCCAGCTGATCTACCAAGCTAAGCTTTTGGTGTGCAAACCTCCTGTTCGAACACCCCCCAATTTTTCCCAGCTAATCACCTAGATTAGCACTACTGATCACTCCTAACAAAAGACCCTTGCTTCACAAGCTCTCTCTTTTGTTCTGTATCGTGAAAATCACAGGGAAAAACTCTATCTCACAACTCCATTAAGCTCCAATATATATCTATCTCGCAAAAGAGCCGTTGAAGAGGAATCTCATCTTGCCAAATCTGCTCCGCTTATTTTCGCCAAGTCCGCTATTCTTTCCATTTCCACATTACTTTGAATTCGCCTGATTTGCGCCATTAATTTCTTTCTTTTCATGTTGCTCGTCCTCCCAGAATGCTCACAGACTGGAATCGATATGCTTCTCTCAACATTCTCCCCCTAAGCTTATCATTTGCTCGAGCTTTTGCTGCTTTCACACATTATCTGCACAACTCAACAAACGGTTGGTGCAGCCTGTTCCAAACAATATACTGATACTGTTCTATAGAATCAAGAAAAGAGGCGGAGTCTATTTTTTCAAATGAAAACACGCAACACAAGAGACTCGAAACAGACAGAGATCGACCACCAACAACCTTATTGACTCGATGACTCAAACAACAAGACTCTCCTTTAACGGACTCGAACAGTGGAATCCCCCTAAACTGATTGCCCATCTAAAACTCACACTCAGGAGGAGACTCATAATCAGACACACCATCTGCCTTTTCCTCCTGTAATCCACTCGGTTCAGCTTCCTTTGCTATCTCAATTTGAGCCTTGTAGTGCTCTAAGCTACAGAGCTCCTTGCTCTTGATAGATTGAATTTTCTGATCCAATGCCACAGATCCAGCATCTAGTAGAGCATGGACTAGCTGATTTGCAGAAACAACAGCAGACTGCTCTCCCCCTGAGCGAATGACAGGCTTCCGTCTACCAACAGAAGCATCGACACGAGCAAGAATATGCTGAGCACGCAAGTCTTCTCAAATATCACACACAACGACCTTGTCCGAAAGGTCAATGCCAAGATTGTAGAGGAGGTGAGTTATTTGAGGACCAAAGGGAAGGGGACCAGAGTAATTCTCATCTCCATACTTAATCATTTGAGCAAACATGAGTGAGGAAAAGTTGAGACGAACCCTATCACGTGCATTAGCCATGATCTAGACATCCGAAGGGTGAGCTAACTCAGTACTGGACACACTGCGAGGAAGCAGGATGCGAGTAATGAAAAAATGCATCACTTTGAAAAGATCTGCGAGTCTGCCTGCTGAAAGCATATTAGAGAAGTGACGACCAATGTTGAAAGTGAGAGATTCCAACGCAGACCCATAGTCAAAGCGAATCTCGGCAAAGTCATCATTGGTGGCAGCAAAGGACCCTTGATAGGGAAGCCCTAGGGTTTCAGCTAGCAGAGAAGGTGTGACCAGTATCTCATGGTGATACACCACTGTGGTGAACACTACAGAAAATCTGGTTTTCAGTCACGGGATCTTATTCACGGGAATTTTTCCCGTACTCAGAAGTATGCTAATAGTCATGGGAAAAATTCCCGTATTTAATTATATACTTCTAATCACAGGAACCAATTTGTCTGTTTTTTAGTCTTCATTTACCGTGATTAATTGTTAGTCACGGTAAATTACCGTGAACAATATGACAATTACCTTTATAAATTTAGGTTTAATTCGAGCAGGATTAAGGAAAAAAATTTGAAACACAAAGCAATAGATTTCGACATAGTTAGTAAAATACGAGACAGGTAACTTACGTATAAAATATGTACGAGTATTTTACTTTGTCTCTAAACTAATGGTACGTTTAATAGTACATTAATAGTTATAAAATTTATTAAATTAATCATTAAAAAATTAATATATAAATAATAGTTGATTTATCAATTTAATTCATAAAATATGGCTATTAAACATGTTATACTGTTTTTATACGCATTTAGTACGGCAACCATCAAATTAACGGGAAAAAATTAAATGAATTGACAATAATAATAATAATACAGAAATTTTAATTTGGTAAAATATATACGAACATATATACGTATATTAAACGGAGTATTTACTAGCTGTGGATTTTGAATCTCTCCTTATTTTAAAAAATAAAAATTTAGAATCAATGCAATTTTTCTCTTTCACATACTCCAAAAAGTTCTCACATTTTGGGTAAATTTTTCTAGAATTTTTGTAAAATCGGACTCCTTTTGCAAATCCAAAAATTTGTACTGATACAAGAAAAACAATTTGGCTCTCCCGCATTTTTTCCCTCCCTCCCCAATTCTGAAATTTGGCTCCTGAAATATTTGGCTCCAAAGTCTAAAAGTTTTGGCGCTCTCCAATTTGGCTACAGAGAAAAACAAGAAGTGGCATTACCTTTTTAGCCAAACCCAAATTCTCTTCGTTCCAAAGAAGAAAAGCCACCCTTTCTTCCCCCGACCACCCTCTCCTGGTCCTGGCCGCTTCGCTTTCATCCATTCTTCCCCAAACCACCCTCTTCTGGCCACCCCGCCTTCCTCACCGTCGCCCTGCCTTTCCCTTCCTCATATGCCCTTTCGACGCACTCACAAGCTTCTTTTGAACTGCCTTTCCCCTAATGTTCAACCCAGCCACACAAACCCTAATTTCCCAGTTTTAGGTGCTCCACAACCTCCGCCTTGCACCATTGGCAACCGTCGCGACTTCGCCTCCATTCTTAGCTCATACGGAGAGATGTGCTTCTGGCCAGGCAGGTGCGTTCGTTCGCATCAGAGCCCCTCCTTCGGCTGCCTTGGCCTCTTCCATTCTCGGCCCTTTCTTATCAGTGGGCTCCCGAGATTCCGTTTTTACTCCTCCTCTTTCTGAAGTTTTGGACGGTCTGATCTCGATTTCACTCACACATTTGGGGTCGACATTTCCGCTTTGGGTGAAATGAGGGTATGTAATTGATCAAATTGTGAATTTTTCAGTTTTCTCTGAACTAAACATGAGTTCCCATTGAAACATGGATTTGAGGTATAGGTCAGTGATAACAAGGCTTCACAATTTTTATTTTGCTTGTTTCATGGTGGATAAGCTGTAATTTGAGATATAGGTCAGTGACAACGAGGACGAACGAACACCGAATGCGTTCCGGATTTAGGTGAAATGACATGGGATGGGCTCTGTTTTGTCCTCTGCCTTTCTGAATCTGATTCTCGTGAATCGTTTTGTTGCCACAGGAGCAAGAAGCTTTGGCAGATCTCACGAGGAAAGAAATTTCTTGTCAGGAAGAAGATTGATTTAGTGAACAAGTAACTGAAGCCACTAGGGCAATCAGTCCCGAAGAATGTATAGATATAATAATAAACAGCAGCTAATTGCTTTTATATGAAAACCCCCTTTTATGGATTATTGTCTAGTTTGTCTTCTATATATATATATATAGATATATGGGGTTTACAAAGTAACAGTGATAACTTTGTGGGTTGTTTTTGGGGTTTACAGGAGAAAGAGTGCATGGATGCTCTTCAGGCTTTTAATGATAAGAACAAGGAGAAAGTGAAGCTGGTTACCAAGCTAATGGGAGGTGAGACTCATGTTTTCTTTAACCTACTGAGGAATTAGGATGAAGGTGATTTTGTAAATTTTGTTGTTCTTGTATCCACAGCGCATAATCTTTATGGATGGCAAATTGTATTTTTAAGTTTTGTTTCTTCTGTTTAGTAAACCACTGTCATCATTATAAAAAAAGGTCTTACATGCTGCTTAGCGTGATGAAGAGTCATTAGCTGAGGGTCTTCTTTGGCTTCTATCAATTGGAAAGGTGAAGTAGTTTTGTGACAATTAAGATGCAAAGTCTTCATTGGATGTAATCATTAACCCTATTCTTTACATGACCTCTATTTCTTTTCTTCTTCCTCTTGGATTATAGGTGTCAAGCAAGGAGCAAGTTAATACGTTATCAAAGGAATTTAGAGATCTCGCTACTGTCCAAGGTCTTTTGTTAACTTGCATTTGACATCAGTTCCTTATTTTCATTATTCATCATAATCTTTATCTCTTTAGACTTGCTTGTTTCTGGTATTGTGTTTGCTTTGATATTTGTTTCTCTGTTTACTTAAACATAACTTAGCATCTGGTAGCTCCCCCAAATAGTGAAAGTGATGAATTTTGTTGTATACATTGATGTACATACTTTGACATGAACTGTAAGAGGTCCCTAGAACCACTTGTATTACATACGAGGATATATGTTCCCTTTGTGGTTGAGCCTAAACAAGTTGTGGGTTCTTGTTAGAAAATGACAGTGAATGAAATTGGAGAAATGAGAGTTCTGGCCGCTTGTTTTAGAGTTGTTAACTATTTTGTTGCTCTTTTAGTGTGTTGGCAGGAGGATGACGTGGTTTGAGTACATGTTGAGTGAAGTTATGAGCCCCATATGTTTTTTATGTGAGAAGTTATGAAGTGTATACTAGTTCCTGCCTTGAGAACAAGGCATTTGGGTTAGTCTTTTTAAGTCCTTTAAGCTTCTAGCTTCTAGCTTCTTTGTTCATGTTCTGTTGGATTTGAGTTTAACTAACTTTTCATTGATGTCTGAAATTTTAATTACCCTGATTTCTTCTCTAGCGCATCAATAGTACAGTTGACAGAATTCCATACCTGATTAACCAAACCATCTTTACAATTCCAATACTGCTACCTTGTTATGTCTCTGTTTATGTTTCTTTTTCTTTGTTTCGTCTCTTGGGTTCAAGTTTGATATTGCACCATGTAGTGATGAAGATCAGATCATAAAAGGTTATATAATATTGGTGTTTTTTTTTATTGTTGTTCATGACAGATACAAAGGTGCAGATGCCTCGGATGGAGTCCTTGGCACATATTTTTTTTGGTAGAAGAAGGATGATTTTGAATAGTTAACTCTAGATAGATTGACAGTCTTAATGTTGACTTTAGAACCATAGAAGTAATAATTAGTTAGCTTATTGAGGAGATGTAGATTGTAACAGTATAGAATTATTGACTACAAGATTTGATGACTTTCTATTGTTGATAATAATATTATTTTGTTGTTATTTGTTGGCCAGAAACTTTAATACATGGTTTCTATAACTAATAATGAAAAATTCATAATTAATATTTTTTTATGTTATTGTAATTAATCATAGGAAATTACCGTGACTAGTGGTTGTAATTAGCTATAGTCAAATACCATGACTAGTGTTTAGTATTTAGTCATGTGTTTAGTATTTAGTCATGGGATTACCAATGACTAAAAATGCAGTAAATACCGTGACTAGTGATTGATATCTAGTCACGAGAATCAGTTAGTCACGGTACTTATTACTAGTCACGGTACACAATTAGTCACAGAGCTTTATATTACGGTAATTTTCCCGTGACTAAAATTATTAGTCACAGGAAACATGCTTTTAAACACTAGATTTCCCATGACTAAAAGACCTTTTTCTTGTAGTGGAATGAGGAAGGACTTGGGCCATGACCTCTTTTCAGACTAGCATAGAACATCCGCACTGCCTTGGGGCATTGACTGAACTAATGGTTCTCAAAGAGAGAATCCCACCCAAGATTGTGAATAAGCCCACAATTATCTAGGCCATACTTCTGGAAAGAGGAAGGATGAATGGTGAATGATGGATAAAGAGGACGGTGGCGAAAGTGGTTGAGATAGCGCTCATAGCGCACGGGATTGTGAAAACCCTTGTTGTTGAAAGTGACTGCAGGATGCAGTTGAGAATTGATGGGAGCCATTTGGAAGACAAAAGATCTATAATATCGTAGTGGAGGCTGAGGATGAAGGAAGGGGCTAGGGGAGACTACCTTTATAAGGTCATCGTAGAGAGTGAGAAGAGGAAGGAGCAGGATCCTAATGAGGAAAGAATCAATTAACGATTGATTTATGAATCAGCACAGATCCTAAGGAATCATGGAGATCTCTTCCAGCGAGAACAATCCAAGTTCTCGATGGATAGATAGGAAATTTTCAGCTCCTAAAGGCTTAGTGAAGATATCAGCCCACTGAAAATCAGTGCTGATGAATTGAAGATGAATCTGTCCATCTTGAACAAGATCCCTAATGATGTGATAGCGAACCTCTATATGTTTAGTTCTAGAGTGATGAATTGGATTCTTGGTCATATTAACAGCACTAGTGTTATCACACATGATTGGTAATGAACCAAGTTGAATGCCATAATCACTAAGCTGATACTTCATCCAGAGAAGTTGAGTACAATAGAACCCTGCTGCCACATACTCTGCTTCTGCAGTAGAAAGTGCCACAGTGTTCTGTTTCTTGCTAAACCAGGAAACTAAAGAAGAGCCGAGAAAGTGACAAGCTCATGAGGTGCTTTTTCTATCTACTGAACAACCAGCATGGTCAGAGTCGCTGTAACTAATTAGTTCCAGGTTGGAATCACTAGAATACCAGAGACCTAAACTAGGAGTTCCAACTAGATATTTAAAGATTCGTTTGATAGCAGAGAAGTGGCTTTCTTTAGGACAACTTTGGAACCGAGCACACACACAAACACTATACATAATATCTGGCCTGCTAGCAGTCAGATATAGTAGTGAGCCAATCATCCCCCTAAATAAGCGACTGTCACAGGTTTTCCAGATTCATTCTTAGTAAGTTTGGTCGAGGAACCCATAGGAGTGGATGCATCTTTTAGATTTGTGAAACCAAAACGTTTTAGCATGTTATTCAGATACTTTGTCTGACTAATAAAGATGCCCTTGCCTGTTTGTTTAATTTGAAGACCTAGAAAGAAATTAAGTTCACCCATGAGACTCATTTCAAAGGCACCTTTCATCGAAGTTTCAAATTTTTTGCACATTTCCTGATTTGAGGATCCAAAGATTATATCATCTACATACACCTGTACTAACAAAATATGTTCACCCTGATTTTTTATGAACAAGGTTTTGTCTACTTGACCCCTATGAAACCCATCATTGATTAAGAACTGACTTAGCTTATCATACCAAGCTCGTGGAGCTTGTTTTAGACCATACAAGGCTTTATTCAATTTATAAACATAATCAGGATGTTCATGATCTTCAAAACCAGGGGGTTGTTCAGCATATACTTCTTCTTTCAAGTCCCCGTTAAGAAAGGCACTTTTTAGATCCATTTGGTACAGTTTAAAACCTTTTGAGGCAGCATAAGCACACAGTAATCTGATTGCTTCTAATCTAGCCACAGGTGCAAAAGTCTCATCAAAATCTATGCCTTCTTCTTGATTATAACCCTGTGCTACTAATCTAGATTTATTTCTTATAATCATTCCAAGTTCATTAGATTTGTTTCGGTAGACCCATTTAGTTCCTATAATGGTCTGTTTTTCGGTCTAGGAACCAAGTCCCAGACTCTGGTTCATTCAAATTGATGCATTTCTTCATGCATTGCAGCATTCCAAAATTCATCCTCTAAAGCTTCATCAATATTTTTAGGTTCTATTAATGATATGAAGGCAGTATGTTCAGGATAGGTTTTAGATCGTGTGACCATACCTTGGTTTAGTCCCCAATCACTAGAGAGGGAGGATGCCACTTTTGAATGTGAGGAGGAGCTTATGGCTTGTGCATATTTTCAAGACCTGCATCCTGAATTGCCTCTATGCTAATCGCTGCTTCAGCAGCCTCTTTGGTCTGACTTAAGCTAAGTCCAAAATCCTCATCATCTTCTAGAGTTTCTACACTTCTAGTGGACTCATCAAATACCACATGAATGGACTCCTCAACTTTGAGGGTCCTTTTATTATAGACACGATATGCTTTGCTATTTACAGAGTACCCCAGAAAAATGGCTTCATCTGATTTTGAATCAAACTTCCCTTACTGATCTTTGGTATTTAGAATAAAACATTTGCTTAGTTTTGTTTAGTTTTGACCTAATTAGAGCTCTGTTTGTTATATAACAGGCAGTGTTGATAGCTTCACCCTAAAACTATTTTGGTACCCCATAATCATTGAGCATTGTTCTACTTATTTCAATAAGTGTCCTATTTTTCCTCTTGACAACACCAGTTTGCTGTGGTGTCCTTGGTGCAGAGAAATTATGTGTAATCCCTTTTTCATTACAAAACTGTTCAAAGTTTTCTGACACAAATTCCCCACCATGATCACTTCTGATGCTGATGATTTTGATTTGTTTTTTATTTTCTACTCAAGCAGAGTAGTTCTTAAATTCAGACAGGGCTTCATCTTTGCTGGTGAGAAAGAGTACCCATGTATATCTTGAGAAATCATCCACAATCACAAATGCATAATATTTTCCACCTAGGCTTTTTATATTACTAGGTCCAAATAAATCAAGATGAAGCAGCTCCAAAGGTCTGTTATTTATTGATGGCATCGACCCTACTTGCCCTTTTCCTAGGATTTCTGTGCTGAAATTATCACCAAAGAACACTTTACCTTTCTTTCCTAGAACCAGATTTGTAAAAAGCCCTCTATCCCCTGTCATGTGGTGTGAGCATCCACTATCCAGAATCCAAACGCTGTCTGCCATGCTCACTTGGAGACAGGTCTGCAAAACAGTTTTATTTATTTGTTTTTAGGTATCCAAACTAGTTTGGTTACCCTACCCATTTGAAAAACTTTTGAACAATTTTGACTTGAGTGTCCTACTTCATGACAGTTAAAACAGTTAAAACGTTTTACTCGATTTTCTTTAGCTAAACGCTTTCTACATTCAGCAATATGATGTCCAATTTTATGACAGTAGTAACACTCTGTGTTCCTGAACTTTTGCGACTGTTTATAATTCTTAGTCAGATTTTTGCCCGAGACCTTTTTGACCTTACATTTAGTTCTTAACCTTTCAACTTCAGTTTCTGCTGATCCTAACTTACTTCTTAGCTCATCATTTTCAGTCACAGCATTCACAAGTTTGTTTTCTACATCTAATTTTTCTACTTTCAAGGTTGTGATCTCTTCTAGCAGTTTTTCATACTTAGACTTAATTAAAACATGCTTTTGTTTGACTCTTAAGAACTCATTTTGAATGTCTAAAATTGTCTCATCTAACAGTTCATCCTCACTACAACAATCAGAGTAGTAAAGTTTTACCTGTGTTTCGTTTTCCTCAATATCGCTTTCTTCAATAGCCATGTATGCTTCCTGCTTAGTGTCCTCCTCATCTTCGTCATCTTCACTACAGCTCCATGTTGCTGCGAAAGCCTTTTCTTTCTTCAGTAAGGGGCAATCTGCTCTGATGTGTCTAGTCTTGTCACATTTGAAGCATCCGGTTTGTGGCCGAGTTTTTTTCAGAATTTGTTCCTTCTCTCTTATTCTTCAAGCCAAACCGACTTGGTCTGCTGAATTCCCTTTCATTTTCTCCATCCCTTGTTCTATTGAGAAAACTTCCTCTTCTCTTTTCTTTTCTCATTCGTAGCAGCTTAGCTACGTGTTTGCTGAGCATTGCTAATTCATCATCCTCCATTTCTTCAAGGCAGTCTAGATCATATTCTTGTGTTACAACCGTGAAGGCTATTCCTTTCTTTTCCTTTCGAGGCTCTTCCACCTCCTCCCTTTTCAGTTTTTCTTCATGTGTTACCAGGGATCCAATAAGTTCATCCAAACTTAGCCTGGTAAGATCCTTGGACTCCTCGATGGCAGTTACTTTTGAAGTCCATCGCTTAGGTAGAGCCCAGAGAACTTTCCTCACTAAATTCGCACTGGCATACTCTATCTCCAGATTCCTCAGACTGTTTACAATTGTAGTGAATCGCTCAATAATTTCTCTGATTGATTCTTCTGGCTTCATAATGAATGACTCAAACTCTTGCTTCAGACTGTTGATTCGAGAGATCTTCACGTGCGATGTGCCCTCATGTGCTATCTGGAGTTTATCCCAGATCTCCTTGGCTGTTTTACATCCTAACACTCTGTGGTACTCCTCGGGACCCAGAGCACAGTACATCAGGTTGGTAGCTGGTACTCCCACGAGCTTCCTTCACTTCGAGAGGACCATCCATTACTATATTACATAGATTAGGATTCTTATGTAGGAACCAGGCTCTGATACCACGTGTTGGATCGTC